CAATTTCCCGGAATTCTAGAATGCTGAACCTTTATGGGATGATGGTAAGGAGATACCTCCCTTGAATACAAGACCTTGGAGGTGGGGTGTTATGAACTAAGAGGGAGAGAGCATCTGGGTTCCCTGAATGTGGATTTCTCTAAAATGTAATCCTAAATTATAATCAAATGCAAGCAATAGTTGAAAAGTAGACTTTTTTGGAAGATTGACTGTTGTTTGCTACTCAAGAAAAATATCCTTCCCTGATGACAAAGGTCTAGGCAGCAAATTTATCCAGTGGCCAATCCACCTTCTTAATAAACTTTGGTTGAACAATACAGGTAGTAACTAGTTTCTACCCATTAAAAACAAGGCTTTAGGGAGCCATTGTTGTGTCATGACAGTCAGGTGCAGTGGTTAAAACACTAAACTAGAAACCAGGAAGTTGTAAGATTTAGGGGTGCGAACCAATTGAGAAAAATGTGCCAAGAAAACTTCAGAGTCTTAGTACAGGCAAGTTGGATCAAAAGGCCAATGTAGAAGATTCCTGAAGATGTCTCCAACTCAGAGTGTAAGGAAGAAGAATCTGTGATGAAGAGCAAAAAAGGAGCTATATTTGAAAACAGATAAATAAAATGTATCAGTGCATATTAATCTGGTAGATGGATGATTTTATTACTTTAATTTTTACAGCAAAGCGTCTCACATGTGGGCTGGCACGTATGATCAGGAAACCAGACTTCAAAGAACTACAGATTCTAATGCTTTAAAAACGCATCCCGAAATATTCTGATTTTTGAATGGCTTTTAGCAAGATATTTATTAGCATCACATTGTTGTGCTGTCCTATGGGAAGCATAATTATGATTGATGTTGCATTAGAGCAGAATGCAAAGCCTCTCTAAAGACATAATGCAGCATTGCAAGCCCCAACATGTGAGGATTTGACATCCTGTCGGTGAAGAGAGCCCCTCCATCACATAACAGAAGGCTTACATAAGAAAGGGAAAGTGTTTCTGACAGCAGGGTTGTGCTCAAAGAGGTTCAGCAATACTGTTTTGGTTAATCCTGAGATTCAACTCGGCAGCACCACATTGATAAGATCTTGTGGAAGGTTTGCGCCGATGTTTCTTCACCCCTTGTATTTTTCAAGAGGAACTGACAATTCGGCTTTCTTCCATACTGTCTCTCAAACAGATAAGAGCAAGCAATCGTTGCATGATTCTGCAAACATGTTATGCGTTTAATGCTAATTGAAATATTCCATGGCAGAGTCACAGTATTAATGCAACTTTTCCCATCTTATTTTAGACATGTTTATGTGGAAGTTAAAAGCTGGATTAGGTGGATTAGCTGGCTTTTTTTACTTCTCCCTTATACTTTGATTAGGCATTCATTTTCTGGGTTTTATTCTTCTTTTTCAATGGCAAATGAGTAATCTGTTTACACATCAAAACTGTCATGGAATGCTGCTGGCAAAAGCTGAATTAAGACACAAGGAACTTTGGTTTGAATTTCGCCTGTGCTATAAAGACAATCCAAGACTGAAACAAGGAAATAAGTTTCTCCTTTCCTCCCAGTTCTCTGACCAAATGGGAAAATCTTAAACCAGGAGTGTCCAACCTTGGCCATTTTAAGACCAATGGACTTCAACTCCCAGAATTCCCCAGCCAGCCATGGGTAGTTGAAGTCCACAATACTTAAAGTTGCCAAGGTTGGACACCCCATCTTATACCTGTACTAATACCCATCTTATACCTTTACTAATAATGGGCCAGTGCCCTGCATTACATGTAAAGGCAACAGATTGGTATGTGGGCTTGAGCAGGCACATTCAGCTTTATTGTCCAATATGTTTACATTGCTCCTGGATCCCAATACAGGCAATCCTTCCTTAGGGATCACAGTTGGGGCTGGCAACTCCATGTAAGTATGCTTAGCAACTGTAGTTGTTAAGAGGAAAAATCATGTGACTGTGACAAGTTTATCATCTCAATTCTCATTTGGTCATTAAAAGCAAATCACCACAGTTTTTAAATGAAACAGCAAATGACCACAATTTGTGATTTACTTCTACATTCTCCGTTAACTCTTTTGTCATAAGTTGGTTGGGATGTACACGAAGGGCAATTACATGACTGTAGGACACAGCGGCAGTAATCTGAGGATTGGTCACAAAGTTGTTTTTTTTACATCATTGTAATTTCAAATGGTCACTAAATGAGACAATAAGCAAAGACTACCTGTATATGCTGTTACAATTGTGCTGATCTGCCTCTTCTGAGCTCACATTGGCTGGCTGACACTGTACACTAAACCTTAAAATATTCTCTGTAAAGCACAATGACTGGATTTGCCAATTTCAAGCCAAACAAAACATATCAGAATTTAGTGGGATGGGTGAATCTATTTACCAAATATAATTTTCATTCTTAAACCTGCTGTTTTCCTCTAAGTTTATTAATGTCTTTAAGGCACTTGCCAAATGGCTAGAGAAAGAGAAACTTGGGAACATCTTTAATTCAATTCCAAAGATACCCACTGGAGTTGGATTTTCTGCATAAGCAGAGAAGGGAGAATGTTTTCAAACCACCTCCATCAAATCTGGTAATGGATCTTCTTTTCTTTTTACATTACATATTAATTTTACTGAAGATACTTGCATTGACTATTGTTCTTCTCCAACCATCTTTTTACCATTAGAAAAAAATTTATCCAGCTTCACCAATTCAAAATAATTCCACATTTTTTCATATTCTCATGGTTTGCATTGTCTATTTGATTGATGAGCAGCAATCTTTATAATGACAAGAAGAAGCACGGACCATTTACAAAATCAGGGTTCTGTCCCAATCTACACATGGACTATTTGCTTATCAACACTTTAAATGTATTCTCAGTTTGTACTGTTGTTTTCGTGAAATATATTCTTTAAATGTAATCTTTCCTTATCTTCCTATGTATAGCTTCATGATTCCATTGGCATAGTAACTTTTTTATAAGCATGACAGCTATTCTCTGTGGGGCTACAACAGTGTCTCATTTTGAGCCAATATCAACATGAACTAATACAAGAAGCATTGAGATGACTGATATATATTTGTGTGTGTGTGTTTAAGTATTTAGATATAATAAGCATGGAAGGCTCAAGGACAAATCTATTTGCAAGCATTTGACTTTTACTAAAGTTTGAAGAAGAAAAAAGAGTTCCAATATAAAAGTCTCTAAAACATATAGATTTAACTAGCATTGTACATTTGATGTCTAGATAGATAAAGATTTCAAAACCATGGATTAATTAATCAACTAATAAGGATAACTTTATTCTGCCCCCAATATCAGTGTGAGATACAAACTGTGATGTTGGCTATTAACTGACATTTATCTGACACATGGTTGATTTTCTTAATTGAGCTCCCCAATTATTGAAAGGCACTTCAATGGAGAAATAGAAGTGTTAATTAATTATGTAAAGTCATTTCGGTTACAACTCTCTGTGAAATGTTGTTTTTTAGGAATTCAAAGAAAATCTTATTCCAGCGAGGATATGGAAATCAGAAATACGTTTATGTTCTAGCTGAGATGTTTGTGGCTGCTAATTACTTCTTCTTTTCCCTGTGAGTTTAAGATTATGTATATAACTTTCCCATCTCACATTTTAATGTTATAACAATTTTGTCAGATACATTATGAGATATGCTTCCTTTAATTTTTTTAAAATACCAAACTGATGCATATTTTTTTTGTTTTATTTATGCTTTCATATATTAAACTTTGAACAGTTTAAGCTATTTTAGTAGCATGTTTATTTTAAATTAAACTTATAATAATATGTAAAATTAATCATCACAAAATCATGAAGGATATTCTGCAGTTAGAAGACAATGCATGTGTAGTTATAGTGTGATCATAAACTGCAATAATAAGTAATATAGTAATTAGGCTGTAAACTAATACAAGCAATTTGCAGAAACACATGAACTAGACTTTGAAATATTAATTAGCTGTAGTAACAAGTTTGGCATGCCATATTTTCACAAAGTTTATAACCAGAAGCCTCTGTTAATATAGAAGACTATACAGATTTTTACTAATTTCAAGACAACAGGAAAAGACTTACAATAAACAAACACACACTTTTAAAAAAAATTAATACTAACTACAAGAAGCCTGGATTATTTAAGAAACTTGTTATCTGCAATCTGTTTGGGGGCAAGCCTAATTGATTCACATTAAAAAAACATAGTTCATTTGTGCTTCATAGTTCCAATATTCACTAAAATAAAACCAAGTTCTAATGAAATGCATGAAACTTTGTTCTGATTCATCCATCTATATCTGTCTTCATAATATAATGACCAAAATTCTAAAAGAATGAGTGATTCCAGGTTCACAATAGGTGCTTCTCTGTAACAAACCATATAATATTGGTTTGCATGAACGGAAACAGCTGTTTATGGCCATTTTCTACGTCCGACCTCCAGGCTAATCACACCAGCAGCTGCAAATGAATGAGTAATACATATGATGTACAGAAATCACTGCTCATTCTTTGTTTAAAGAAAGTATGATTGAAGTGACCTGGTTCGTTGATAGACAATTACAATTAAACAATATTGTAACCTCAAATGTTTACAGATCTTTGATTCAAGGTCCTATCTATATCCAAATCAGAAACTGTGTTAAGAAATAAAGTGAAAAACTCCATGTATGTTAATATTGTGTTTCACTTAAGAATGTGGCTCAATTTATATTACCCAGAAGCATTTGGAGATATATTGTCCATTGGATGTGGTAAAGGACATAGTCTTAAAATATCTCCTCTACATCAACAGTGCTAAGTATTTCAGAATGGTGTTAAGCTGAGAATTTCCCCCTGGCTTTTTCCTTATGTTCTTAAATCTATTTAGAAGATTTGAATCAATGATTTTATTCTAATGTGGCCAGCAGCATCTTACCTTTGGTTGCCATATATTAATGCCACATGGGATTCACAGGGCAATCAAAAATGTCTTACTTACTTTTTAGGTGGATTCTGTGTGACCCCAACCGATGACAATTATTATAAAAATGGACCTTGCTTCAGTCCAAGAGGTGTGAGAACAGCAGTGAAATGCATATCGCACCTCTGTACTTTTTATTTGAAGTCAGGGTGGGGGAGGACGACATAAATCCTTCATCGACGGAAGGCTATTTTAGAATAACTAGGAGACCAAACTCATTTCCTGAACATTGCAGCCCCCTGCCTGAGATAACTAGGAAACACAGCCTTCTGGAATAATGCTATCCCTCCTACATTATCTTATTCCACAGGGAGAAGAGGTTGTCCATTGCAAAGTCAGGAAATCAAAAGGACAATTTGAACAAATTGAGAACATTGTAAAGTATGGAAGGAAGGAAGGAAGGAAGGAAGGAAGGAAGGAAGGAAGGAAGGAAGGAAGGAAGGAAATATAAATATTCAGAATGGTTTTTAATACCCCACCCCCCCTCTCCCTTCCCCCCTCTCTCCCTCCCTCCCTCCCTCTCCTTTCCTACCCTAGTAGGCCCTCGTATTCCTTGATAGTCTTCCATTAAGTTTGTGCCAGACTGACATGACATCAACCAAGGTCCATGAGGAGGCTTATATACAAAGATTAATTCTTTCTTCTGCTTCTGCATGGTGAATATATTATTTTATAAACCACTTTCAGAGCTTTATAAAGTGCAAGAAGAGGCGGAAAAGCCTAACCATGGAGATAAATAAAGATAATGCAATTATAATATCCATAGTGTTTTGGAAAATCAAGATGCTTATTTATAATCTAGGATTTTAATAAACCACATTGGAAATAGACCTCTTTGCTCCATTTTGTTACTGATGTTAGATCAACCTTAAAAGATCATGTGTCTATTTATTTTAGAAATATATAAGACTGCTCAATTTTAGAATGGATGACGAAAGCACACAATTTTTTAGGATCATTCTGCATTGTCTTTTATTATACTGAGAATTTATTGTTCTATCATCAAACATCACTAAAACTTACAACTTTCATTTTTTTTTTAATTTTTCAGGTCATTGACAAATGAAGCCTACTGGTCCCAGATCAAATCTCCCATGCCACTGCCAAGATAGGAACCTACGAAACCCCATGAGCCTCTGTTTCATGGATTCACTTTAACCCTCTAAACTAGTTTATCATTAACTGAATTATCAAACAATCTGATTCTTAAGAACTACCTGGGGTGAAGTACCAATTTACACCTCTGCCAACTTTTGCTCTTTTTACTCACCTAATTGTTTTCCAATAACTTATCTGAGATGACTAATGCATTATCATGGGTGAGATTATTAGAATAACCTTGGACCAAAGCTTCTCTAGTTAATAAATCAAAGCATTAAGTATATTTACAAAAGTCAATACAGCGCTGAAGTCAGGGAACAAATTCATGAACATTTCAACAATCAGTCCTCTAGAAATTGAATTTTTGGATGTACATTTTACATATTAAGCTCAAGTTGATGCTTGCAAAACGGAGTCCTACCTATTTTGTGTTTACATCAACATCACATATGAATAGAAAGGGCTGAGACTTTGGTTGCACTGTTGTAATTTCCATCTTGACTTTTTAAATCCACCTCAACACCTACTATTGGATAAAATCTTTTGCAAATATATTCTATGGTACTCACTCATTGTGCAGTTTTAACATATTCAGGAGTGATCAGGTATACGTTTCTAAAATAAATGATTGAATAAGAACTCTGTTACATTAGGTACAAATTCTGTGCATACTAAACTAGTGTTCTCATAGTGAGAAACTGACCAGCCTCATATACAGTTCTGAGAAACTTAGTTATTCCAAGGCATCTTTTAAAATGCATTACATTTTCTTCAATTCCACCTTCTTACACAGCTATGTCATAGCTCAGAGCCTGACCATCTGCAAGACTGCTGCTCCCATTACAAATCTGTCTGACGGTTAAAATCTACCCTACTTAAAATGCTCTGGCTGTCAGCGGCCTGTTCATGTGGCCTATAGAAAAGGCTTAGTCCCAGGGCTTGAGATGTATTCTATTTTTTTAAAAGAGACCCCCGTCTCTTTTGACAGCTTTTGATTGATTGCAAATTAACATTTGAACTGATATTAATTTATGCTTTAATGTCAAATTTCAGAAGAAATGTGAGAAAGAGAGAGAGAGAAAAAGACAAAGAAAGAAGAAAGAAAGAAAGAAAGAAAGAAAGAAAGAAAGAAAGAAAGAAAGAAAGAAAGAAAGTTAGTTGAGTTGCTAGTGAAAAAATTCAGTACGTTTATGAAGGCCAAATGTCAATCATAATCTCAGTTGCCATTATATTTTATCTGCTCTGTCTTCCTCAACCCGGTTTCCTCCAAATGTTCTGGACAACAGGTGTCTATCAAAAGAAATGTCAAAAAACCCAATCAGACTTCCTGTGTCATGTGTAATTGAGCACTCGTTAGACTATAAACAAGGGCACACCAAAGCAGAACTAAAAAGCTGCCTACTTACATTAATGCTGTGTTCGTGAATGTCATTTTCTCATGGCATTCTTGTCATAAATTTGATATGCCACAAGTCAAGGCTTGTTTGAGTTATAGTAGGCAAATCCCAATGGACTTATTAAATTTGTACCACTGTAACTTTATGGCTTCTTGAGAACTTCATACATACAACATCTCTTGGTTTAGCCTGGTTTAGCTCAACAGACAGAAGCACTGTAATTTAATTGCAGCTGTCTGCAATTAAAGTAAGATCGAATCTCGCCAGGCTCAAGGTTGACTCAGCCTTCCATCCTTTCAAAGGTAGGTAAATTGAGGACCCAGTTTGTGGGGGCAATAAGCTGACTTTGTATAAATATACAAAAGTATGAAGGCTATTGCTTAACGCACTGTAAGCTGCCCTGAGTCTTCGGAGAAGGGCGGCATATAAATCAAATAAATCAAAATCAAAACTTAATCCAAAATATTAAGATTAGTAATAGCACCTTGAGTCTCCTTTTCTATGTATGTACTGCCTAGAGATCTACTGCCCTTATTATCTATCCTTTTATTCTCATATAGCATCTGAACAAGGGTCCTTAGGGGAAGGAGGGCATGACAAAAATGGATGTCATGACATCACAGTTCAAATCCTATGACTTTCATATTAGCGTCAGCCATCAGGATGCAAATATGAAAGGCTGTGGTTTGTGTTTAAATGTTGTCATTTTTTGTCATTATGGTTTGTACTGGATATCCATTATTCAAAGACTCAAAGAACTAGACTCAAAGAACTAGAACACAGTGATAAAAAATGCAATAAAATAAATCAACTTAACAGTTTAATTAAAGCAAAGCAAAGCAAAGCAGAGAAACCCATTCCAAATGGCAGCTAGATTGAAATTTATAAAAACTGAGGCATCAATGAAAATGCAGATGTCTAAAAGACATTGTAACCATTTTTAAAATAATTGACATAGTGTTCATGGGGAAGGAAAGATATTTAGAACTTTTTCTGGGGGCTAAATCAGCTATCCACTAAAGGCTAAATCAGAAGAAAACTCTAGGGACATGACATTTAATGTTCCCATTCCAGCTTTAATTTGCTTTTGTTGCTTTGGGTTTAGAATTAGTAATAGCACTTAGACTTATATACCTCCCAATAGCACTCACAGCCCTGTTTATAAAGTTAGTGTATTGCCCCCAACAATCTGGGTCCTCATTTTACCAATCTTGGAAGGATGGAAAGCTGAGTCAACCACGAGACAATCAGGATAAAAGAGCTGGTAGTCAGCAGAGTCAGCCTGCAATGCAAAACCATGGTGCAGCTTGAAACCATTAACAATAACAATTTTGATAACATCTTGTGGGTAAACCCAACCACCTCTACTTCTTTAATATCTGCATAGTGAAAGACATTTCACAGGCGAGCTAGGATCAGAAGACAGCAATGTCATGGGAAGATGACAGAACAAAGATGATACCAGGCCCTGCTTGTGCTGTGGTTAAATGCAAGTTGGGAAGACCAGTGGGGGAAAATAATTCTGGTAACCAATATATGGAAGAAACACATAAAAGGGGGATTAAAAGACTTTATGGTGCTGTACTATCTTAGAACAGTTCTGGAAATACTACTCTTTCAAAATACCTGAGTTTCTGAACATGCATAGAGGGGAGTGCTGCTATGTTCATGTCCATCTTATTTCAACATTTCTTAAAGGGCTCTTGGGAGCTTTCATGGGAACAAAGTGTTGAATTATCTAAGCCAGGGATGTCCAATCTTGCCAACTTTAAGATTGGCTGGCTGGGAAATTCTGGGAGTTGAAGTCCAAAAGTCTTAAAGTTGCCAAGTTTGGACACCCCGATCTTAGCTGTTGATTGGGCTAAGAGGAACCATTATTATCATCTTATGAAGTTGAAAATTAAAACAAGAGGTAAAATGTCAAACAAAACATAATTTTGAAACAGCCACATCCACAGAGTATGGATATAAGAGCTACATGGAGTCTATAAATGGATTCAGCATGCAACTGGTTTACTGTCATCAAGTCCAAGTATCCAAAAGTGCCTATATAATACTATTCACATCAACTTCTGTAATATTAATATACTGTCTAACCATGCAGTATTAACCTTTGCCAGTGCAGATGTGTTGTTTTATGTGCAGCTTTATGGCGGTTTGAATCCCTAGTGCCGCATAATGGGGTGAGCTCCTGTTACTTGTGCCAGCTTCTGCCAACCTAGCAGTTCGAAAGCACGTAAAAAATGCAAGTAGAAAAATAGGGACCACCCAGTTACCTTTGGTGGGAAGGTAACAGCGTTTTGTGTGCCTTTGGCATTTAGTCATGCCAGCCACATGACCACGGAGACGTCTTTGGACAGCGCTGGCTCTTCGGCTTTGAAACAGAGATAAGCACCAACCCCTAGATTCGGGAATGACTAGCACATATGTGCGAGGGGAACCTTTACCTTTACCTTATATTATCTTTTCATGTTCTGATCTGTGTGGGTAGATTGGCTGAATTTAAATGACAATGTACTTGCCATTTCTGACAATCGGGGGAAAATATATCAAATGGCTTATTAAATCTATGTATCCAACAACAACCCCTTGTTCTGC